AAATTACATCTCATTTCCCGTGATGGATCAAGCTTGCCACTTGGCTGAAGGGAGAAGGAACAATTAGGCTGGTTGGACCGAAGCTCTATTCTTCTGAGGCTGCGCATGCCCTGTTATTCCCATGGCCTCCTGAGAGACTCCAGAATTGTTTATACACATTCCAATAATTTTCCAAATTAGGCTGACAGATAGCTAATTTTACGAGTTATTCTTTTTCCCTTTAATATACAGACATTTAAATTATTTCCATTTCAGCTTCAAGGACTGACTCAGTCCTTCAGGCTTTCTCAACAAGCAGCGCTAAGAGCCGTGGGACACCTCAAGTGCCCTGGGAGGGTTCCCAGCAGCAAAGACGCATGCTCAGGTATGACCCAGACAGCCCCCCTGGGGAGGGCCCAGAGGAGGTGTGGGTTTGCAGTTTCTGGTAATTCCAGCGGGGGTGATTATGAAGGATCATGAGGCACTCTGCATGCGGCAAGCCATGACAGATTGTCACACACTTTATGTCTAGAAATTGTATATCCTCCCGGTTTGACTCCCCAGCAGGAGTCACCATAGAAAGTGAGGCAGAAACTGCTAGCTGCCCTTCACTATCCTTTCCCCCTTCCTTCCTTAACAATGGACAGAAATGTGTCCAGCGGAAAGACTACATTTCCAGGCTCTCTGACAAAGAGATATTTCATGAACTGTAAGGGGAAGTCAGCAGTAGATGGGACTTCTAAGAAAGTTCTTCAAAGGCAGGCGTACTTGCATACTTAGCCACCAGGCACACCCCTGTGCCTTCCTCCTTCTAGAATGTAGATGTGACAGTTGGCATTGCAGTAGCCAGCTTCTAACTATGAAAATGCTAAAGATGGCAAAGTAAAAAGAAGGAGCCTGATTCTCTGGGGACCATGGAGCTGCCACTACAATTCTGTATGGTTCACTGCCCACTCTTTGGGTGTGAGAAGGATAAAAACACCCCTTTATTTCATTTAAGCTACTGTCATTTTGGGTCTGTTTCTAGCAGCTGGACTCCATTCTCAACCAACACAGACAGCAGCATACTTCCTCCTCTGATGCTGTCCCACCATGTAGATGCCAGTAAAGCCCCTTTTCAGGGATGGTCTTCACGTCAATGGCATACTCCTCTGAGTATCTTGACTGGAGAGTCTTCAAAGCATGTTAGTAACATCCACCTTGTAATTAATGGGAGTGACCACACATGAATGAGTCTGGCTTCTTTTCTAGTCCCTGCTCTTGTTGCATAAATGTTAGTCTTGCTTCCCTGGCTAGGCTGCAAGTCCCTAAGTTTGACAATGTGTCAGGCATCTTCTCCACTCTCGGTGCCATGGCTCATTGCACAACATCGAGCACACAGTAGGTGCTCACATCAATTCTTGGATGTCTGTGTTCTTGGTTTTATATTAGCACAGAGAGTGACCCCAAATTTCTCTCTGTCCAATAGCCACAACACAAACATTCAAGGAGAACCTGGTGGCTGTCACAGTAGGAGGAGGAATAGAGATAACAACAACTACACCACTGGTATTTGTATAACAACTCCATGTTTCCAAAGCTTTTTCACTTGTATGGTCTTGTTTTCCCTTCACAAAGTCCCTGAAAGTTGTCATGGCAGATAAAAATGTCACAATTTTACAAATGAAAAAATTGAGGCTCAGAAAGGTTAATGTGCTTCTTGAAGGCAGATAAGTAGTAAATATTAAGAGTCAGGCCTTGATGGACTCCCAGGAAAGGGCCGTTTCCGGGGGGTCACATATCAGAACGGGATGTGTGTGTGTGTGTGTGAAGACTTCTCACAATGCCCCAGTCTCCATGTTTCCCTAAATTATTCATGGCCCCTCGCTGTTGCCATTTTTCTTTCTAATGTGTCACCTTCTAATCAGATAGCTTTTTATCTGCTGTATTCACTCATCTACCCCTGACCCAGGCTAGTACAGCCTGTCCTCCCGCACACTCCCACATTCTTCTTGACCTTGTCAAATCCTCTCCTATTTCTGTGCTACCTTGGGTGGGAACATTGGTTCCAGGACAGAATTAACATGCTTGCTCCCTTTTGTCCAGCTGTGGGGTAGCTGACCTGGAGGCTCCCAAGGAGCAGGGACAGATGAGCACAGTGTGACTGCACCCTGTGCCAAGGGGCCAGCCGGCTATGTGCCCCTTCAGACACCTGCCAAGAACCTGAGCCCGGCTTGGAGTCAGCGCCACAGCCAAACCCCAGGGAGTGTCCCAACACCATGGCCAACGAGGGTCTCCCTCTGGATTTGTCCTGGGGCTCAGGCAAGTCCCTCCAACAGAGGAGGGTCAGGGCGGGCGGTGCTTCCTGGGGAAGTCTGAGCGGCTGTCACAAACCTAAGAAGCTATGTCCGGTGACTGACGGACGGGTGTAGGGTTAGGACCAGGGTCTGGAAGCAGAGCACGAAATGACCAAATGACTGAATTCCAGCAAGTTCGGGGTAATTTTCCCAGGGAAGTTATAATCACACTGAACATACAGGAAGTCTAAAACATGCGTAGAGAAAATGGCTGCAGCCCTCAAAGAAGGAAAATGCCACCTGTTTCCTGAGCCCACACCAATGGTTAGGAGGGGAACGAAACACTGCCATCAAGTCTGTACAAGGATGGCTTCAAGACGTCAAAGCAGAAATGCCCTGTAGTGAGCGAAGATGTGAATTATGATGACGTCCGCTGGGTGCCCCTGAGACCTGCTGGTGGCTCCGGGCTCTGGGCTCCACGCCAGGCCTCCAACACCCAGAAAAAGGAAAGATGACTCCACTACAAAAACTGAGATGCTGATGGGATAGCCGCACGCACGGCATCATTCAGAAACATTAGCTCAAAAATAGTTAAAAGAGAGTGAGATTGTGAACCATATTTTCACAAAGAGCTAATGGAAGTTAGCTTCTCACCTATGTGAGGAAAACAAATCCTTCCCCCGAGCAGAAGCACACTCAGTATGTTTCTCAATTGAGATCACGTCATACAGGGGCGGGAGCCACCCAGCCAGCTGCCATCTCCACAGAGCCCTGCACCCGGGCCTGCTAGTCTGGGCAGCCAGGCTGTCACCAATCAGGCCGAAATCACCTCTGAAGTCCCACTGACATCAGAGGCTGCTGACGTCACTCAGAAAACTGTGGTCTTAACTCTGAAGACTAGGTATTAGTGCTGGTTCTGCCGTTTGTTAGCCATGCGATTTCAGACCAGCCAAATCCCAGCTAGCTAACGTTCAGTTTCCTTATGCATAAATGGTTGCAAACAAAACTTGCCCTGTCCTATGCTATAAACTGCGAGCAACCTGAGGGAGGGGCTAGCTGCCCCCACCCCCGCCATGGTTTTCGAGCCCAGTCCTACCATACAGGACGCACTGGGCGAGTGCTCGCTGGTTTGCTAGGTTGTTGTGAGGCACTAGAGAGGGAATAGATGTCAAGCTCTTTTGAAAACTACAAAGCACCGCCCAAACATATCATCCCTCGCCTTTCTCAGTGCCATTGTCAGAGCCAGGGAAGTTCATCACTTCAGGGCCAAATTATCACTCTTTGTCTCTGGAGTTGCTGCTGTCATTCTCAGCTCCCCCCGCCACCTTGCTGCACACCCACCGACAGATTCATCTCCTAATACAGCATTTTGAGCCTGTCACTCACAGCTCTAAACCTTTAATGGCTCCCTGATGCCAAGTGAATGAAAGCCAAACTCAAGGCTCCAAAGCCCTTCTCAGTTAGGTGGAGACCCGCTTCCCTTTACCCTGCACAGAACTCAAATGCACCGGCAATAAAATGAAGCCGTCACCATTAGCAGTAACAGGGGATTATTAACAGCAATATCCGTCATTTAAAGTGTTTCCAAATTTATAGTTATTTTATTAAATAGACTAATTAAAGCAAACATTAATTGTCCAGGTTTCCAGCTATTTTCATTTTCAATGAGTAATCAAGAATTACTTGCCGACGAGCAGGTCCTTCCTGGTTGTCCTGCATTTTAAACATCTCTGCTCGTCACTGTGAAAGCGGGACTGACTGCACTTCATTTATAAAGGAGGATTTATGGACTTAGGGATGACAACAGACAGCCAATCAATAAGGGATGATAATAACAGCATGTAATATCAAGGAACATTAGGTCTCAGGCATGGTTTGGGAGAGAAGTGGGCAGTGAGAACCCTGATCATTGGAGAAAGGTCAAGGCCTGGTGGCAATAACAATGCCTAAGCAAATGAAACCACACCCGTGAGGCAGGCGAGGGGGAAGCTGCTGAGTGGGGAAGGGTTTTGGATTTTGTAGGAATTGTTTCTCTGGGCAGGACGGGGGCTGCTGCAGGGCACACGGGGTTGCATCCAGAGAGGGTCTGTCCCTTACTGCTGAGAACGGTAACAGTGAAATGCAGACCTGGAGGCTGTTTCTGATGCCTGGCTCTTCCTGGACCGAGACCCGGATCCTCCAGGAATCAGAGGAGGAATCAGACGCTGTAGAAAGCCTTAAAATGACGGGGTTGGGTCTTAGCACATCTATGTAAGAGCCACTGGCTTTATAACATTCTGCTTGGTCATGTTTGGGGGGTGGGTGTGGGGACGAGTTTTTATTTGCCAATAATCATATTACATCACTCAAAACAAAATTCTAAATAATCATTGCCTTGGAAACACATTCGCAGTACTATGTAGGACTCCAGGCCAGCTTTATTACAAAATACACCATGATTCCATTTAGAAAAAGTCAGTTTCACAGAATGTTTCAAGAATAAGTGGACTGGTTAAACAATGTGTTTAGATCCTTCCTGTCCATAGTAAGTAGAAAAAACCAGTTAGAATATTATCTGTTTCCCTTCTATAGTACTGCTATAGTTTCGGAATAGATGGGGAGATTAAATTGAATATATGATGAATTTCCTTCTAACTGCTCCCTAGAGGATTGAATCCTGTATTTTTATTTCTAACATGCTCCAATCAAACTTCACAAACCCTGCTCCCCAACAATGACTGCCACCTTGCAGGGCAGCAAGCTTACCTCCTTGTAAGGTGTACTCGGTCACTGCCCTGCTGAAGACACCCAGGCCAGCCCCGTTGTAAGCTGCCACCTGTATTTCATACTGCGTCCAGATAATCAGCTCTGTCACCAGGCAGTAGTTGACCTCTGGGCTGGTGATGTTCCTCTGCTGGTACTCTCCAGGCAGGCCAGCCAGGCGGTACCTGCATCAGACCGTAGAGAAATGACTCGAACCAGAAATTGGGTTTACCTGCAGTTATTCTGCATGGTTAGAGGAAAATGGAAGTCAATAAACAGGAGTAAAGCCGAGAGGTCAGCCTCAGACAACACTACTTCCTAATTCAACCCCTAGAAAAGGTATAATCTAATCTCACAGTGATTACAAGATCTGGGCAAAACAGAACTAACATTTCAACTATGTTATGGTTAAGGAAAAATTATAGCTTTTTAAGTGTAACTTGTCTAGGGACTACAGTGACTTAGTACCAAAAATTCCAGACATGATTTCTATTGGGGTGTTACCATAAATCAGTCTGAGCAATACTTTCCCCCTGTGACTCTGAAATGTGGGGAGAAATAGAGAAGCAAGCAGTGTGTCACCTCTGGGTCTCCGTGGATTGAGTTCCCAGCTCTCTTTCCAGTTGGGAATTCTAGATTTGTTCAAGTAGGGCCCAGAACTAGAATGAGTGGCTTTAAAAAGTGCTCACATTCCTAAAATACTGGTCCAGTATGACAAACTGCCTTTTTAGGGGACCTTTGTAGAATGCTCTTAGTGTACAAAAGGCTGAAATTTAAAATTGTATTTATTTTTTAAAAATGACATACACGACTCTGGACTTAGAAAATGTATAAATTAGGAAATTGCTATTTGTAATCTCAAAGGACTTTTATAGCATTATTTTGAGTAGCAAATGTTTTTCCACGCTTCCGTTGATAGAAGTTAATCAGTTCCCCTGGGTAAAGCAAGGAGCATGTACAGTGGGAGTAAATTTCCTCAGTTATTGCGCAGCTTCCAAAAGCATCTAATTTCTCTCCAAGAAGTGCTTCTTGCCTCGGGAAGATGTACCTTTGTATGACAAGTAGAAGAGGGAAAAGATTGAGGAGGATGCAAAACCAGAGTGCCAGCAGGACATCCGTTCCCTGGTGATGGCAGGTCAGGGTCTTCGGGCTCCTCCCTCATGCAGAGTGACTCTGTGTCTGCAGAGTCTGGTTAGTTACCTGCTCTGTCCCCAGGGCAGCGGAGGGCCTGGACACAAAGGGGAAGGACCTGAGCCAGATTCATGGGGGCCAGCATGTCAGCAAGACTGCCGCCATCAGAAAAAAGAAGAAACTCTGAAATTCAGGCCCTTAAATGGAAAACAACTCTCCAACGAGAATGACGGCTGAAAATGCACCAAGGAAGCAAAGATATGGCAATAAAAGGTTCTTCATGAAAATCAGGATTTTCTGAGAGTAGCCTTTCATCCCCTCTTGCCCCAGACCACTTGTCCTTGGTGAGGCCTGTTTGATAGGAAAAATAAACGATGAAGAGCAGCCCTTGAGTAGCAAGAAGGTCCAAGGCCTCTGCCTGCCTCTTGCCTGAAAGGAGCAGCAGCATGACAGGCCTGCAGCTCGCCTGGCGGGAGGCGCTGGGGACGGCCAGTGCTATTCTGCGATGGGCAAAGATGAAAGTTAATCTATCCAACCACATTTTGCTTCATTTTCCACCAACTGCTGACACCCATTGAATTGGCATTCCTTTACTGAATACCTGCACCAAGCAAGTGTGGGCGCAGTTCATAGCGGTAGTTAGGTTGGTTTCTATAACGTGATGGTCTACAAGGCAGTGGACAACAGGGAGAAGGGCCTGGCATGGAATAACCCACGTGACAGATATTTCCACTTAAATTCCCCATCTACAAAACACGAACTTTTAGAATAAATGGCACTGAAACAATTAGATAGCCATTTGGAAAAAGGTGAAAGTTGGCTCTACACCCACAGCAGACACCAGAGTGTCCTGGTACATGTGAACAGTGCCTGGACCACTTATAACCAATATGGCACATGCTGGGCATGATCGCTTGAGAGCTCACTTGTGTGGACCCATCACTATAAGATATACATTCCAGGGAGAAGCAAAGAAATCAGCTCCAGAAGACTTCAGCTGGGAAGAAGAGTTATGAGCTGGCTGCTCTCAAGCAAATTCTTAACTTCTCTGAGCCTTGGTTTTCACCTTCCTAAAATGACATAATCACAATGGCATTTCACAGGATTGTTGCAAGAACAAAATCAATGGATGTAAAAGATATGGGACAGTGTAAACCATACCCTAAACATTTCTCTTTTTGAAAACACTGATCTTCTAGGAAGTGTGGTAAGGGACAACTCTGAGTTATAAGAAACTAAGCCTGCATGAGCCACACGCTTTCTCCCAGGCCCCTCTTTATACGATTGTGTAATCAAATTGCAGAATTCCTCTTGAGAACAGGCTGCTCTCCCTGCCGCAGCAGGCCGGTTGGTCCCTTCTGACCAGTGGCTCAGGATGCTTTTGTAACATTCACAGGATGTCTGGGAAGGTCACAATTAATAATGAAGTGCAGGGCATCGTCCTCTGACTGGTAAGATACGTTGCCCAGGAGACTGTCTCAGGCAGAACAAGATGATTTTTTATATGGAAATAAACAGGAGAATGTTTTTAAAGGACATAACCCCTGTGTTCCTCTCAGAGAAACACCCTGCCCATTATTATAAATATTTTATTATTGCGCACTCATGCTAACTACTTCTTACGGCCAGAGCCATGGCGGTGATTTATTTCCGTTTTGTTCTTCTGTGGCCTGTGCTGCAGATCTGACACAGAGACTCGTGCCCCGGAGGACACATGCTTGCAAATAGAGCTGATTTGCGGACTGGAGGATTATGTGGAAACGTTTCCAAGCAAATTCATTTTGGCATGGGTCTTTATTTCTGAAAACTTTGATATTCACAGCCCTTGGGTAGTGCACCCTCATTTTAGGGCTTTCTTGATTTAAGCCCCTACAAATACAGATGCCCTCTTTTCCAGCACTCAACTCTACTGACACCATCACGGAAAATCCTTTTAACAGCAGTAATCCCACAAAATAGAGAAATACGCAGTCCCTGATGGGGCCTCATAACATCAGAGAGATTTTATTATTAAACTCCATGCCCTGAGCCTGGTTCTGTGGGCTGGCTTTTAAAGTCCATACTTGGCAGCTGGAGCCTCAGGAAACTTTTCCTCCGTGTGCTGAAAAAAAGACGGAGGCAGCTGGGATGACAAGCATGGTCGGAGAGGGCAAGGCCAATTATTTTCATTAGTTATGAGCACGGAACAAGAGCTACAGCTGAAGCAAGGAGCAAGTGGCATGAATGCAACAGAAAACCTCAGCCTTCAAGCAGTGGGAGCACCAGGCTATTTTCAGGAGGGGAACTGGGAATTGTCGGGAAGCATCCACAGGAGCTGGAGCTACAGGCTCCCCTCGCCTGCAGGGGACAGATCGCAGTCTCCTCTTCACCCTTCTTTGAAATGAGGAAGGACAGATGGGGGCGGCACAGCGACCAAAGGGGCCCTGAGTGCTGACTCCAGTCTTCCGGCCCTCCGTGTACCCCAAGGGACAGCCGCACTTAAGCCACTTCAGGCAGACAATGATCTGGCTTATGTTTAGAGGATAATTCATATGCTTGAGGGAAACTTGAGAATAGCAGTGAATTGGTTGTGACAGACAAATATTACATGCATATAGATAAACATGTATTAAACGATGAATGGATGATTATATAAATATACACTAGGAATGAGTTGTCCTCCATATGCAAAGTAACGGAGTTAAAGAAGCAACTCTTTCATAATCTCTTACATTTATCTAAGAAATTACATTTATCCACTTAAGATCTTTGTTAATCCAGTATTTCCTGATCACACTCTCAGAATGGGCACGGACTAGGCATTCGGAGGAAGGTAATAGTGGACCTCTTAATCCATAAGGCTGGCAAGGGAGTCAAAGTACATGTCAGATTAATAAATATGTCCACAGCTGTACAATCTATTAGGAGAGATTTAATAATTATCCTTTGATACTGCTTTACTTTTTTCTTTTTCTTTGTGTCAATAAATCACTGCAATGATCACATTCAGTGCATATTTAAAATTAGCAGTAGTTTTGGCAAAGGAGGTTTCTTCTCTCAGACCTAGCCAAGTTCTGGTATAGTTCTCTCAACAAATTAGCAGCCTAACCACCCCTTATAAGGCAGAGATAGCAAACCGGCCACTCTTGGGCCACATCTGGCCTGCAGACATGTGTGCGGCCTGCTCTGTGTTTCAAAATATATTGATTTCATTTCCAACATTAAAAAATTGTGAGATTGCACGTAAAAAGTGGCATAGTGGTTGAGTGGCATAGTGGTTGAGTTCGTGTGCTCTGCTTTGGTGCTCCGCAGATTTGAATCCCGGGTGGGACCGACACACTGCTCATCAAGCCATGCAGTGGTGGTGTCCCACGTACAAAATAGAGGAGGATGTGCACAGATGTTAGCTCAGAGCCAATCTTCCTCAGGAAAAAGAGGAAGATTGGCAACAGATATTAGCTCAGGGGCCAATCTTCCTCACCAAAAAAAAAAAAAAGCTAGATTTTTAAATTTCTTTGAAACACTAGAGAAACTGGCAATACTGAATGACATTCTAGTGTGGTAAAAACTGGCTAATAATTAAATCATTTGCATTATTACTTATTAAGAATTATATTTAATAATACATGCCCCTGGTAAAAGCTTAAATAGAATAAAAGGATTTACAATGAATAGCACACCTTGCTCCTAACCCATAATATCCCCTTCGATTCTCCTGCCAACATGCAACACCTGATGTCGTTTGTTTTTTGCTGAGGAAGATTCACCCTGAGCTAACATCCACGCTAATCTTCCTCTATTTTGTATGTGGGTTGCTGCCTCAGCATGGCCACCAATGAGTGGTAGAGGTCCGCGCCTGGGAACCAACCCTGTGCTGCCCAAGCAGAGTGCACTGAACTTAACTGCTAGACCACATGGCTGGCCCCCTGCTGTCAGTTTCTTGTGTGTACGTATCTGGTTGAATATGCACACACTGTCTCGGCAAGGCTACCCATGTTTTCTTGTGCACTCCAGTTTGCCACAGTCCCCTCTACTCCCTAGAGTCTTACAGCTTGCCTGACTGTCTTGATTACCGTTGGGCTCCTACAGACATTTGAGTTTGCCACCTCAGCAAAATAGACACTTGACTCTTTATGATGACAGTCTAAAAGCAGCCTATCACAAGCAACTTGCCTGAGGATATAGCCATGCAGCACCCCATTGTGCTCTGTCTCTGGGGGCAGCTGCCACTGGACCATGATGGACTGATTGGTACGCCCACTGGCCACTATATTTTTCGGGGGAGCACTGGGTGGTTCTTCAGGTAATATCAACCTAAAAATAAAAGAGGGGGAGGGGAAAGAGAGATTAGCGCCAGAAACAAAGGATCCTCATCTGCATTCTCTATCTGAATCTTGAGCCTTTTTACCAAAATCCAGTGACTACGAAAAAAGCAAAACGCCCAGCTGATCAAACTGAAAGGACACGCATGAAATAGTTACAACAAATCAACATAATAGAAAATCAGTTAAGCAAGTGACAAGGAAGACACGGGAGGTGACCTTCTTCTGTCTGGATAACCCACTGTACCTCCACTCTTTACAAGGATTACAAGCCTGAGTGAGCCAGCTCACAGGCCTGTAGTTTGAGACTCCTTCCAAATGGTTTTCTTCAGCTCTTTCAACAGCTCTCATAGCAAACTCCTACATTTTGAAAAAAGTCACTTAGAGCTCAACTATTTCACAATTCAAGCCCATTCAAAGCTCAGGTTAATTGGGGAGTGCACGTTGAAGTCTGATGAAGCCATATTCCCATGTCACATCTTAAAGAGCTTCAGAAGCAGCCTCCCCAGGGATGAGTGAGCGGCAAGACCACTGGGGAATGCGCAGCTGCCATGCACACACTGAGCTCATTCAGCTTCCCTACAACACCCTGCTAGCTGTTTACTTGTCAAGACAGTGGTACCAGCTCCCATCCTGCTGGCAGTCAGGGGGCATAAAGGGCATGAAAACATTGTAAATTCTTAATTTCGTGTATACAGAGGGCTGTGCTGCAGGAATAATTTATGTGGGCACAACCAGAGCACCAAGAAGTCTAAGAAACTTCCCTCAGAGCAATTAAGGAAAACCAGCCAGCCCAACATAAAACTGTGTTTTCCCTCTTTCTTATAGTCATTCACGTTTTTGCCAATATCACTGAGGGATGGAGGTTGATTACTTTGATCAATTTCCCCCAACCAATGTGAGGCTTCAGTTTTGCTTTCAGGCCCAAGCTGCTCCTCATCCCCACACTGTCCCCACACCGAGGGACGCACATTCACACACCTGCTTGTCTCTGCACTGTACTGGCCTTTGCCCACTTGATTCACGGCACACACCCTGAATTGATAGGTGCGAGCCGGAGTCAGGCCACTCACGATGACGCCTGTCATCTCGGGGCCAACGTTTGACAGATGCACTTTCCATGGAGAGTCTGAAAGAATGAGTAAAACAAATTCAAACCTATACAAGCACATGTCTGAATAATACTAAATGAATGCAAAATGCATTCCCGTGAATTATCTCATTTGCTTACCATGGCAGCTCCAGGAGATGGAGTGGTTATCCCCATTCAATAGATGTGGAAACTGAGGCTCATGTCACGTGGCTAGTACCAGGGAGCCTGGCATTAAACCCGGGTTTCCTACTCCAAGTCCAGTGTGCCTCCCTTACCCCCATGCTGCCATCCACGAGTAAAGGAATCTCTTGTTCAACCTGCATATGGCAGTTTAAATGGAACCAAATATTCCTCACTCCTGTGTTCAATATATAACGGGAAAAAGTTCTCTTTCAGCTCACACGGTTAGGCAGATTGCAGATTTGTCTCCCAGAAAAAGATGCTGCACATGTCACCAAATGATAAATAAAAACTATATTCATTAACATTTTAATAAAAGAGGAAATGAGCATGATAAAGACAGATGGGCTGTGCATTTTGCAACCCATCTGCGTGGCAGCCCATTTCACCACCACACCCCTGAGTGGCTTTGGCTGGAGAGAGATGTAATGAAATTCACAGCTAGTTTAGAATATCTTTCCACCCAGCTTTCCAGCAGGTGTGGAAGAGTGACTCTGCCAGCCAGATGGGCTCTTGCCTGCAAGGCTTCAGGAGGTTCTGCCGGGCTCCTACACCTTTGGGTGATTTTTTTTTTTTGCAGAGTTTAAACATGCTTTTTGGCCTGATCATTTCACAGAGTGATGCCCTGGAATGAACAAGACCTGGCACTGACTTTGAGCACCCACTGTCAGTTCCCATTTGGAATTGCTATGATGACTGAGCTGCATTTTCAAGTTATGAGTGAAGTAAAACATGGGGGGAGAAGATTCTTGTGGAATTCAAATTGTCTTTCTTGTTCCTCTGAAGTAGTGGTAAAGTCCCTTTCACCCACATTGGAGACGGTCAGAAAGAGGTGACGCATGGTTTCCACTATGGCATTGGGCTGTGCTCAGACTGCAGACAAGGCCAGCTGCGTGCACACTCCACACACAAAAATCACAGCCACTTCTGCAAAAACCTAAAGACCTAACCATGAGGATTCACAGGTCTGCGCTCGGGAGCTCATCAGAAATGAACTCCAGTTCCTTACGGGTCACTAAGAAGTAGCCACAAACTGCTCCAAAATGAAATGAGACTCTCAAAGGCAACTCCTGTTGACCTTCACACAGAGATGTCCATGACTGAGTCAGAGTTTGTTAGCTGGATTCCTGAACAAAAAGTTACGCTGCTCTGAAGCACGATGCCAATTGGGCTACAAAAGCTGAATCTTTTTAATTATTTCAAATAAAGCTGCTTCCAAAAACGGCTTTCTGGGAATGCAGTCCTCATCACCAGCTGGGCATTTCAGTGTTCTTGGCTTTTGTTTTTCAGTGGCATAGGTAATCTACAGTTGTTGAAGATCCCTCTCTCTTTATGTTTCCTTAAAAATGCAACGTGTGCATCCCTAATTGACTATGAAAAAACTCACACCAATTTCTCTTTTCACTTTGGGAGTTTGAGTCCTTTCTAGAAGCATCAAACAGCTCATGGTTTTCTGGTTTCCTAAGCAGGCTCTCTTACAGAAAAGAGCCATTTGTCAACATAAAGATGAAAGAGATTCCCTAGCATCAGTGTAACTGGACTTGGTTGGTGGGAACCAGGAACTCTCCATGCCAAGCCAAGCTTCAATGGAAATATACTTTTCATTCTGAAGACAGATGATGTGTAATAGAAAAAACAGAGACCGAAGTTGACTGTGGGCTCCTCCACTTAAACAGTTTTCAATTCTGTTTGAGCTTCCTCTGTAAAAATGGGGAGATAAATCAAAACCACAAGATACCACCTCACACCCCCTGGGATGGCTACCATGAAAAAAGCAGAAAATAACATGTGTTGTGAGGAGGTAAAGAAGTTAGAACCCTTGTGCACTGTTGGTGGGAATGTAAAATGGTGTAGCCACTACAGAAAACAGTATGGCAGTTCCTCTAAATTACCATATAATCCACCAATTCTACTTCAAAATACATACCCCCAAGAACTGAAAGCAGGGTCTCAAAGAGATATTTGTACACTTGTGTTCATAGCAGCATTATTCACAATAGCCAAAAGGTGGAAGGAACCCAAGTGTCCATCAATGGACGAATGGATAAACAAAATGTGGTCCATCCAACAATGGACTATTATTCAGCCTTGAAAAAAAAAAGGAAATTCTGACACATACTCCAACATGGATGAACCTTGAGGACACTATACTAAGTGAGATAAGCCAGTCACAAAAGGACAAATACTGTATGATTCCACTTATATGAAGCTCCCGGAGTAAGCAAATTCATAGAGACAGAGAGTAGAATGGCGGTTGCCAGGGGCTGTGGGGAGGGAGGAATGAGGAGTTATTGTTTAATGAGGACAGAGTTTCAGTTTTGCAAGATGAAAAGAGTTCTGGAGATTGGTTGCACAACAATGTGAATGTACTTAACACTACTGAACTTACACTTAAAAATGGTTAAGATGGTAAATTTTATGTTATGTGTATTTTACTACAATTAAATATTTTTTTAAGTGGTGAAAAAATAGGAGAATAACACCTCACTCCCAAGGCTGTCATGAGTATGAAGTAAGAGAATGTGCACTGATGCATCTAGCATAAAGCCTGGCCCACAGTGGACACTTGTGCTGGCTGCTCCTGTTTTCCCCCCAGATCCACTCTCCACATTCCCCACCCTGCTCTGTGCCCTGGAGGACCTGCCAGGCAGGAGTGGGCTCTTTCTTACTCACTGGGAGATTGCCCCAGACTATCTGCATTCTTCATCTGAAGGTTTCTGCTCTTCTCCTGTGAGCAGCTCTACACAATCTCTCTTCCTGGGCTCTGTGACTCCCCTTGCCTCTGTGCCCTAAGAGTGATATCAGCTCTGCTGCTGCTCCCTGCCCCAGGTTACTATGGTTTCCCTCCTCTCCCACCTCTGTAAACTTCCTCCTTGATTATTCTAATTCAAGAGTGCCCTCTGTTTCCTGTGGGGACCCTGACTGAGACAGTGCTCAAAAAAACTTATCTTCTGTCTCTTTCTTCCTGAAGATTTCAGGGTCTGTGAGCGAAAAGCTCACCTGCTCAGTCAGGTACAGAGTGACGACAGCAATTCTAGAAACAGACAGTCAGAAGGACAGTGGTGGAACCAGTTAATTGCAGCAAGGAAGGGGCAGAGCGCGCTTGGAACGCTGCTTTGCCTGTGCCAGGTGCCCTCCCTCCCAGACTCTCCACCCTAGGAGTCTCTGATTCTCACCATTGGTTCACTCAGAGTGTAAACAGCTCTTGAAAGCATGTAACCTGAATAGTAGGATCTGTTGCCCAGTTTGATTTGACAATAGGGCCTATTAATCTGTCCGATACCTTGGGGCTTTGCTCAGTCCTCCGGGTGCATCTAGAGAATCCTTTATTTATTCTTTTTCCTCTCCTACTAGAAGATAAAAGATCTGGCAGAAAGAGAGATTAAACTGAAAACTAATACAAGTGAACCCGATCCATCTCATGGGCACTCTGATTTGTACCAAAAAAAAAAGTGGTTTGGGAAGGATTTGCTCATTCACAAGCTTCAGAATTGCAAGCTTGCTGAGAACTGTTAAAATTTAAATAGCAAGTCTGTTCCTGACAATCAATAAGCAAAATCCCTTTAAAAGATTCTTTTCTCAGTCCTCACAAACGAGTACTATGTGATGCTGGTCTTGGAGCTGGAATGTAGAAGAATCTTTTGATAAAGCAAACCGTTCCATAAAAGTTTCAAAAGCTTTTTTCCTCCCCTTCAGGGATGCCTCTTGCTCCTCTGATCTAAAAGACAAGGAATTTGAGTCTCTCCCAATCAGGCTGTGACACAACCTCTGCTATACAGACGGCCTTCACTAATCTTGCTCTCAGGAGGAGTTAATCACTCCTCCGCTCTGTCTGTTGATTAAAAAGCTGGCAGTTTTCGATCTTCGCAAATGTACTGGAAGCTTTTTCCAATAAAAAAGGGCATTACCATTTTCTCAATTAAAGGTAACTGAGGAAGGGAAATACTTTTTCGAAGAAAATTTTCTTAATTGTCAAGAGGACCATTGTTATGATGAATACCTAATGTCTGTATAGCAGTTTGCAGTCTGGAAGCGCTTTCACATCTGTAACCTCATGAAGCCTCTTGGGGAGGAGATCTTATCTCTCCTCTTACAGACAAGGACACCAAGACTCAGGAAGTATAAATAACCTCTCCCCAACCTTACAAGTTGTCACTTCCTGGACTTGTTGATGGATTGAACATCACTAGAAGCAGAGCAGCAGGGCCTCTAGTGTCTCCTCATGAGACACTAGAGACATGCAGCAGAAAGTACCCACGACACTCAGGAAGTACTGACACTCACACATACACAATTCAAGGAAACACACAACCAAAAGCTCGATGCAAATTCATTCTAGTCTCTGGGCAATAAAGAAGGTGCAGCAACCAGTTAAATGACACCATGAGGAAGCAATCTAGGACTTGGGACATTCTATAGAACAATGCTCTGGCTTCTGCACCAGGCAAGGACGGGGGAAGGTAGGTGGGGGCTCTTGACAATGACGAGACATAGGAGACAAAACAACCAACACCACGGATGGACCTTGTTTGGATCCTGATTCAAATGAATCAGCTGTGAAAAGTCATTTTTTACAAAATAATTAGGGACATTTAAACGTGGACTGAGTATAAGATGATATTAAGGATTACCATTAGTTTTGTTAGGTGTGATGTCCTTTTTCTGAGCTGTTTACTGAATCACTTAAGGATGAAATAAAACAATATCTGAGATTTTCTTTAAAATACTCTAGCAAAAAAAAAAGTGAGGAATCAATGAAACAAATATGGTGAAATGTTAATGGTTATTGAAACTGAATACATCAATACTCCATACCTTTGTGTATATTTAGAACTTTTCATAATAAAAAGTTTTTA